ATTTTCAAGTGTTTCAGGATTTACCAACTATCTGCCATTGATTTCTACTCCAGTTATACTATGGCTAGAGAACTTGATTTGTATGATTTTGATTCTTTTCAAATGTGTAATATCTGTGTTGTCACCCAGCATACAGTCTACCCTGTCATTCATGAACGATGAAAAAGGTGTGTCATACTGCTAGCTAATGGAGTGCCTTGTAAATTGATCTAATTGGCAGGCACAGATATTCAATTTTCCTGTGTGATCACTGATTTTCTAGAACTTGTCCTATTAATTACAGACAAAAGGAACTTTGAAGTCTTCAGCTAACATTGTTGGGTATGTCATTTCAACTTTTGTAGTCCTACTGTGTGCACTTTGAAGGTCTATTATTAGACATATTTGTTCAAGATTCTATCTCCCTAAAGAAACTGTCCCCTTTATCATTCTGTAAGATCTTATTTATTTGTCATGCTTTCCTTGCTTCGAAGTCTACTTGTCTGATACTAACATAATTGTCCTAGATTTTCTTGATTAACCTTTTCTACCCTACTTTTAGCCTATCTGAGGTCATATACTCATTGGGTTTCTTGTAGGCAATATAACACTGAGTGCTGTTGGTTTTTGACTAAGCCCGTTCTGACGATCTGTGTCTTTCAGCTGGTGTACGCAGACCAGTTACATTCTGCGTATTATTGTTGTGTCTGCATTCAACGTCATAGTTTTGTAATTCTGATTTCTGTGCGTAAGTTCCTCTTATCCCTTGCCTGATTTCTTTCGCATGATTTGAATATCTCTAGTTCTTCATGCTAATGTATTTTTTTTCAGGTTTTTACTGTACCTTTAGTGATTGCTCTAAGGATTACATTATATGAATTTAATATTTCTTCATATTTTGAACTAATACTTCACCACCTCAAGTGGAATGTAGAGGCCTAACCAACACATCACGTCTTTATCTCTCTCCCTCTGTGTGGTAGTGTTCGTATGTAACAGATCTGTGTGTTTTTTTAACTCCATTTGATATGGATATGATGTTTGCTCTCAATGATCATACACATTTTAAAGAACTCAAGTAACTTGTTAAATTTACCCAGATATTTACTATCTCTGTTGTCCGTCGCTCCTGATGTTTCAGTTTCCCTGTGAGAGCATTTGTCTTTCACCTGGAAAATGCTTTTTGCTTTTTTTGCTGGATCTTTTATCCGCATTCCTGAAGGCAACTAATTCTGAGAACTTTGAAATGGTCTAACTCAAAAGTACTCACTTACATATGAGGAAAGCCAGAGACATTAAGTAGTTTGCCCCGTGTCACCGATATCCTGACTTACTGTTTCAGTTATGTTGTCAACATTGGGAATAACATTGTGCCAAAAAAAAATGTGTAAAATGTAACAGAACTCATTGGCAAAAGAAAGGTAAAATTATCCATTTTTAAACTAAAGCAACTTGGGAGATTCTACACTCCAGTGCATCCTGTTTCACATGTGGAAATTAAGGTCCAGAGAAGATCATTTTGTTTCCTGAGGAAACTTAAAAATAAGAAGAATCAGAATAACACTAAATATCTCGCACTGCTAATGAGTGGATGCTGGAGTTCTTTCCATTCCCCAGCAGTGGTGATGGCTTGCACCTGCTCGGGCACACATCCTCTCTCTAACTGCCTTGTGACTCTATAGCTCAAATCGGAGCTGCATAATGATCCTCTGCTGGACCATTTGTCATTACACCTAGGACCTTCTGCTCGTTGACGCTGCTCCCTCCACGAGTGGCTCCCAAACTTTAATGTGTCAGAATCTCACGGGCTGCTCCAAACCAGCTTAATGAAAATTCTCTTCCCAGCACTGTGATTCACTAAATCTAGGGTATAGCCCTGGGGTTGGCATGCTTAGAAGCACACCAGGCAATTCTGACGCACAGGTTGTACTTTGAGAATTTGGCCTAGGTGGGAGCGTGATGTTTTGTTCACACATAGAAAATTCTACACTTCCTACTTCAGAGTAAGGCACGGAGTACCACAGCAAAGCAGCATCAGGTTCCTAAGCTTTCCTTCTGCACCTGCCTCCCTCCTCTCTTGCTGATGGACAGGACAGCCAACAGCCTAAGCTGGAATTGCCATCACACACAACTACAGTGTCATAAAAACAGAGGGGACATAGATGCCCCTAGTTAGCACAGACAAGTTCTTGTAAGTTTCTTACCTACTGCTCTTTAGGTCACTGCGAATCCTGTGGATGCTCTAAGCATAATAGCTAACACTTATCAGAGCCAGGTTGTAGAAATCAATACTGTTATTGAACTTATCTTCTGAAAACCACTTTTCACCTCCATAAGTGAGTCCATACAGACAGGTCCACAAAATCCATGATTGCTCTACAGGAATTTGTCGGTTCTTATCTACACGCCTTGCTATGGAGGAGAGCCTGTGAAGGTGGGAAAAGGAAAAAGGCCTGTTCTCGTGCAGTTATAATCTTGTGTATAAAACCAGCCACACAGGAATACAGCCAGCTGTGCTTCAGACAAGGTGCGCAAGGTGAAACTGAATATAATCACTGCGGAGCGAGGAACGCTTGCTGAAATGGGATTCTTGTTTTCCTGGTTGATTCCTGCTGTGTAGTTTGTGTGTACTTGTTCCTCTCCCTGCACACAGTGACACAAATTTGCTAATCCATGCACTGCGTGGGCCCCCACTTTTCCTTCATCGGCTGCGGGTACAATCCTAACACATCTGAAGGAAGGAAGGAATGCGTCATAGATTTCTTCTGTGTCTCCTACAGGGTCCAAACTATGTCCTTTTCTTTTGACCGGTAATTAGGCCCCGACTGTGTACTAGGCCCTGTGTGGGATTATGCGGCTGCTGGGATGGTCCACCGCTCCAGCCTTACTCGGAGAGCTCTGCCCAGAGCTCGAGGAACACGAAGGAGCAACAATCGCCCTGAACACTCAGGAAGTGGTGTTCCACCGAGGACAAGCATGCATGCTGTACTCAGTTGCAAAGGCTGCTGTAGCACAACGCAGCGACAGGTGCCAACTGACTCACACTTCCAGAGGCATCAAACCGAAGACCAAGGTCTCGGCTGAGGTCGTAGAGGAGAAAAGCTGTTGCTGGCTTCTTCCTACTTTCCGGCCATCTTTGTCTTGTACCAAGAGCACCGCCATCTCTCTCTTCATCTTCATGGCTTCTCCCACTCCCGTGTGCATAGCCCTGTATCCAAGTTCCCCCTGCCTATACGGATGCCAGGATGCCAGGCATATTGGGTTGCGGGTGCATCCTCCTCCAGTATGGTCTCACCTTACCGAGCTGTACCTGCAATGACTCTATTCCAAATCAGGTCACCTTCTGGGATATTCAAGGTGAGGATTTCAGCATATTTGGAAGAAGGAACATCCTTTAACCCACAACACTAGCAACTTCAGACAACATGGCCAATAAGGGAATATATGAGAAGTGAAGGGTAAACATGAGACCACAGGACCCTGTGTACACACGAGCATGAGAGATGAGACACACGGACAAAGCCTGGCCAGACACATACGTTTACCAGCGATGAAAGAGAAAAGACTTTCATTAAAGGCACAGCCAGGAAGGAGAGCGTGATGCGCTTGAGAAGCTGCAGGGAGTACTGTGGACTTCAGAGGCGGGAGGCACAGGTGAAAGACGGGGCGATGCAGACACGGAGGGAAAAACCTACCAGCAGGGCCATGTCCTGGGGGATGGCTTCATCCAGAGGCCATGAGCCCCACTGCGGGGGTTTTCAGGAGTATCTTCTACTGTGACAGCCTTTCAAATAAATAACCAAATCTTTAAAAAAAAAAAAAAAAAAGGAAGGAAAAAAGTGAGTCCAGCCAAGCCAGGCAAGGGAGGTGGTTGAAGAGATTAACAGGGGAAGCTTTGCAGCCTAGCCAGGCAGCTCCTGGGCAGCCGCCCGTTCCTAAACAGCCAGCAGGGCAGGTCACTTTGCTCTAGGACCAGGCTAGAAACGGGGGGAGCCAGAAGTCCCGGCTCTCCCCAGGAAGGCGGGAGGGGAAGGTGATGACCTCACCCGTGACGCTGAGAAAGCCTCCATGTGTCTGGCCAGTGATTCACGGGGTGGACTCCGTTCACACTAAGCAAAATGCAAGAGGTCAGGGTGGGGCCAGAGGCACCCCTCCCTCCTCCAGCGCAAGAAACATTTCCTCTTTTTAGAGTACAGGCGGAGTTGAAATTGAGCCCCTTCCAAACAGGAAATCACCAAGCTTCTAGGGTAAAACTGGTGCCTTTTTTTTTACAAAGGTCAAGTTTCTCACTCACCGGGTCATTGTTTCCTGTGCACCTACTATGCGCTAGGCACGTGGCGCTGTTGTTGCAGATTTAGTGCTGCCCTGAGGTTGTAAAGAAAGGACGGGCAGGCGTGTGCGTGTGCACACACACACACACACACAGCAAAGCTCACAGAAGAAAGCTTTTAGGGAATTGCGATGTCTTTCTTCTAAAATATAAAAATGTCACCTCTCCCAGGAGTCCTCTCGGCTAAGTCCCCAGCGGGGAAAGTGGCCTGGGCGCGAAGGGAGGAGAAATGGAGAGACGGGAGGAGTGACAAGGTGGAAAGGCAGAGCGGGACTTGGCCGGCAAGCTGCGCCAGAGGCAGGTGCCAGCTGCGAGTGGGCGGAGGTGCGGGCACCAGGCCAGCGGGGGGTGAGGAGGCGGGGAGGGCGCGTTACCTCTGTCTCCAGGAGAGCCGGCGCGCACACAAGCTCGCCAGCAGGCGCCCCCGGTTTGCCAACTCCCCACTTGCGCCGTCTGTGCCAGCCTGGGGCACGGGCGTCCCCGCCGCCAGCAGAAGGAGCCGCGGGCGCAGCCGCTGCAGCGCCGAGCAGCAGCATCCGCGGGAGAGACGCCCCAGGCTCCGCAGCCGCTCCCCTGCTCCCGGGGGCGAGCGAGCACCGCGGCCCGCTCTCTGCGCTCCTCCTCGCCTTCGCTCGTGCCCCTCGCCGCGCCGCCACCCGGGTGTTGACAGCCAGCCTCTGCGCCCCGAGCCCTTCACCTGCGGCAGGCACCCGACCAGGCGAGAGGGCACGGAGGAGAAAAAGCGCGAGACACGAGTACCCGGGAGACCCGGTCGCCTCGTCGCCTCTAGGCGCGGAGAAGCGAGCGACGCCCGCCAGCACCGGGTTCCCAAGTTCAGGGGTGTCACTCGCAAAAGGAACGCTATACCACTAGGTGAGCATTCCGGTCCTGTAGAACCCGACTGACCCACGAGGACTCCAGGTGCCTGTAGTGCCTTGCGCCCCAGCACCCACCCGGGTCCCCGGAGACCGCCCGCTCGCCTCCGGCGCCGACCTCGGCCCGCGCGCCTGGCTGCCCCGTGCCCGCCCGGGCTGGGCCATGCCGGGGCTGCGCCGGGACCGCCTGCTGACTCTGCTGCTGCTGGGCGCACTGCTCTCGGCCGACCTCTACTTCCACCTCTGGCCCCAAGTGCAGCGCCAGCTGCGATCTCGAGAACGCCCGCCCGGCTGCCCGTGCGCCGCCGGCCGCGCCTCCTTCCCGCCGGGGGATTCGGCCGCAGCCTCCTCGGACCCTGGCAAGGGCGCGCACAACTTTTCCCAAGCTGGGCTCAAGGCTGAGCCCGAGGGCGGCGGCCGCGGCTTCTCGGATTCCAAACTGCAGGCCCTTTTCGCCCACCCTCTGTACAACGTCCCGGAGGAGCCGCCTCTCCTGGGGCCCGAAGACTTGCTGGTGGCCAGCCAGGAGGCGCTGCGGTATTACCGGAGGAAGGTGGCCCGCTGGAACAGGTGAGGACCGCGCCCCGGGGACCCGGGGGGCTCGTGCGCGCCGCCTGGGCCTCCCACCGCCCGCGCGCGACCCTGGCCTGCGGCGGCTGCCCACGAACCTGAAGCCTAGAGGTGGGTTTAACCCGGTCATTCCCCCAGGCTCCCAGCCAGCCTTGGCGGACCTCAGGGTGCAGCCCCAAATAGGATCCCAGCGCTAGAAAAAGTTCCCACGAAGAAATGCGCTGAGCCCCTTCCCCGCAGCGGCTGGCTGTGCTCGGCTTAGCTCCGCTCCTGCCCCCGGCTCATCCCCTCACCCGTTTTCTTTGTCCTGATGTGGAAAGCCGCTGCTGGACTTTGGTTTTCCAGGAGGAAGTTTCCCAACACGGTAGTGGCAGCGCTTCTTCAAAATGCTACACCCTCTAATGCTGTTAGAACAAACCTGGGCGCTTTACAGAAGACCTGCTCTTCCCCGCTCCCCAAAATCCCAGCCCTGACCCTTTCTTTATCCCTCTGCTGGTGTCCACAGCAAACACGAGGTTGGCCGGAGCAGAGAAGCCGGCGGTCGGTCCTTAGACATGCCACTGCCCCTCTCTCTAGCACAGTCTCTTTGAAGTATCTTTTGTTATCCTGATGGTTTGAGCTGACTTGGACCTGAAGTTTGGTGTTGCTGCAGAGACTTAAAATACCTGCTTGGGGATGCTTAAAAACTCTAGCAAAGCAAAATGTGGAAGGAGGGGGGTGGATATTGAACATACTTAGGATAAAATTAACAAGGATATCTGTTAAAAAAAAAAGGGGGGGTGTTGGCATGGGGGGCGATGTTGGAGAAGATGGAAAGCTCCATAGGAGGTTAGACTCGGCAAGCATGGAATTCCTCTACTACCCCCATGCAAGTTCCTTTTATGCCACACCCATCTGACTGCTTAAAGCAAGAGATTTCTAAATGAGATGTCTAGTGGTTTTATGGTCCCTCTGGAAAGAGAAACGGGCCGTAAATCTGCTGAAACTCAAAGCTCGCCCAATGTGACTGTTCGCTCATTTTTCTGTAGTGCCTAGATGAGGGAGGGGGGGGGAAATCCAGAAAATAAAAAGAGGTACAAGTCCAGCATGGGCCAAAATCCCAGTGGCAATTTTTAATTGCAACTCTATGGCTGCTGGTTTTATAGGAGAAAGAAAGTGATTGTCAATTTCATTGCTAATTGTGTGCCGTAAAAGGCAGCTTCGGATTGCTTTTCAGACACTGTCCTTTTCAGTAATCCCTTTATCTCATTCGTCACATGGGCAGCTGCAGCAGAGAACTAGGGGATCGGGGCCCTCGGGACAATTATCTAAACATCTGTTGTGGGCTTGAGAGTGAGGGACTATGGGAAAAGTCACCTGTGCTTGCCAGTGTAGATTGCTGTCCACTTAGTCACATTTCTACAGCCTTTGTTTCTGGAGGAAAGTGCAGGGGAATGTTTTGATAGAGGAGCAAGATAGCGTTTCTTTCTCTCCAAGCTGTCCTACGTCAATTTTAAGTTTGATTTCTACACCATTATCTGTCAAAAAATAAATAAAAAGGAAGGGAGGAAGGAAGAAAAACCTTCAGATGCATGCACTGATCTGCAATTACCTTGATCATTAAACAGTTGGTCAGTGGAAGTCAGGGACCCGACTGTCCTCAGGGGTCAGAGTAGTTGTGTGTGATTGGTTGAAAGTGACAGTTTCCGAGTGAAGTGTGTGGGCTCCGTCTAGTGTGAGGGTCAGCTGCCCTTCCCAGCATTGAACCAGACCTCAGAGGTTAAGAAGAGTTCCCCTCCACCAACAATAGCTCGTCTCTCCCCAGCTGCGCTGCAGATGCCAGGCAGAGGCAGTGGTCTTGTTGCTTGGATCAGAATTAAATGCGGAACTTAGGACAGTCATTAACCACTGTGCTTTTGCAGAGATCCCTGGTAAGGAAAGGCATGCCTTGGTGATAAGAGGCACGCGTGGATGTGCTGAGAAAACCTGAGCACCTGCCACACGTGCAGGCCGGGCAAGGCCCCCAGGCTGCAGGTCATTCGGGTCATTGCTGTGGATGTCAACTAACTAGAAACGAAGGACAACCTGGCTAACTTTTGCTCTTGCATGGACATGCCCTCCTTATTGGTAGTCACGAGTCTACCAGGGTTTTAAAATCTAGTGATTTGTGCGTATGTGGAAGCTTCCATGCCAGTAATTACCTACCATTCACTGCTACCCCCAAAGGAAGTGCATCAGTAAACAGACCCGGAGAGGCGCAGGTTCTAGAATCAGCTAAATCAGCATTCCTCATCCCTGGTCCAAGAAAGACCATTTAGGGTCTTTCTACCAACTCAAGTTCATTACCCAGAGGAAGTAGGTAACCACTGGGCAGATTCGTTTTTGTTTTCACACAGTAGAAGAGAGAGCCTGTAGGCTGCTTTGAATGTTTCTGGTTTTCAATCAAGATTTGCTTAATTAGATGTCAATATTCAATGATGTTGAAATGTGGAAGCCACATGGTCTGTGGGGTGGGCTGTGCTACCTGACCCTGGAGTTTCTGGCAAAGCTCGTTAATCTGCTCTTCTTCCCTCCCTTCCTGTCTGTCTTTTCTCCTTGGGAATATGACCAAGAGTGGCACAACCCAAGTTTAAAATGTAATTAGAGAAAGTGTTCCTGTCAGGTAGTCAGCCTCTGATCAGAGAGAGTCAGCCAACGCTGGGCTCCATCAGACGCAGTGACACCTCGGGCACCTGTCTTGAATAGTGAAGAAGAGAGCACAACGGGACCTAAGGGAAATGTTTCACTCACTCTTCCAGGCCATCCACCCGCAAGCCAGACCAGGGCTACTGCAGTGACGCCAATCAGGCTTACCTGGAGCACAGTCATGCCTCAAGGCAAGGCCCTCTTCACACTCTTAGAGGCAGAGCTGCCGTTTCTCTGGCCCGGAGAGAGCCCAAGCCGGGTAACATCTGTCCTCTGATGTCACTGCTAGTCCACCTGGCCTGGCCTTCTGCCCAGTGGGTTCCTATCGAACAGACAAGGTCAGACAAGGTTGAAACCCCTACAGCTGCAACACAAAGCTATGCTCCCTACTCTGCGTTTCTCTCTGGGTTCTGGAGGTTACATTGTGCTGCAAAGACGAAACTGCGTGTGTGCGTGTGTGTGTGTGTGTGTGTGTGTGTGCACACATGCACCCACACCACTCCCCATCAGAAGTTCTATCTTCTCTCTCTCCCCCTACCTGTTTTGTGTCACTGGAAGCAAGCCTAGCTCTGAGTCTCGCTTTAAAAATCGCAGCTCAGAAGCCAGGCAGCTTTTCAAAACATGACAGTTGTTCAAGGGGAGTACACTGAATGAAGTTTTTCTGGGGATGCTTTGAGAAGATGCAGGCACTGGGACAGATAAAGGAGTGGGAGGAGAAAAAGCCACGAGAGATGACAAAGAAGTCAGCCAGAAATCGGAAGTGTCTTGTCTGGGAGTTTTTGAAAGGAAAGTTCTTCCTCGCCCAGTGACATCAATGGAATGAACAAGAGCGTCTCTTCGTTATCTCTTTATCATCTCTTCTCTCCTTGCCTCCATCTTATTATCTCTTTTCTGCTCATCTCTTACCTGCCCCTGAATCATTTAGAATGTTGATGTCTCTTTTTTCAAATAATGTGTTTATTAATTTAAGAGACAGAATTCCAGAGAGAGAGGGAAATCTTCCATCCAATATCCACCCCACCAAATGGCCACAGTGGTTGGGGCTAGGCCAGGCTGAAGCCAGGAACTCCATCTGGGTTTCCCATTGTGGGGGTCACTTTGGGCCAGTACAAGGGCCATCTTCTGCTGCTTCCACAGGTGCATTAGCAGGAAGCTGCATCAGAAGCACAGCAGCCAGAACTCGAACCTGAGCTCATAGGGATGCTGGCATCATAGGCAATAATTAACCTGCAGTGCCATGATGCCATTTCCAAGAATGTTCACTTCTTGGGAGCAGTTTAGTCACAGCATGGAAAGAAGTCCAGATTCCTACTTGGGGCTGGTGCTCCACATGCCTCCCTCCCAGAACCAACATGACCTTGACTCCTTGTCTGGTTCTGCCAGACTAAAAGGAAAGGAGATAGCCTCCTGCTGTATGAAGATAGACTGCAAACCCGGTCTGTATGGGGGTAAGCAGAGAGCTTCCCATCTTCCCAATGATAGTCTTACTTGGTTGGTTTTGGAAACACTTTTTTTCAGTCATTTCTGAATCCTTGGATTTACAGCTAAAGGAACCCTCCCCCTATCACCAATCATCATCCTTTCTCAGAATCAAAAGCTCCAAGTGGGCCATTTCAGGTTCCTTTTCCCTCATCCTAAAACCTGGTTCCCCTTATTGCCATTACCCAGCAAACATCTAAACCAGAGACAGCATCAATCTTGTTCGCCCAATGAGGAGAGGCAGGTCCTGTTTCCAACTAGCTCCATTATTTCCAACCTGAGTATTCTCCCTTTGTCCCGAACCAAGTTCCCATCAATGCTAGGAATGCAGTGGCTACACTTTCACAAGTAAATCCTCCAACCTGAAACGCAGTTGTATGTGCCAGCTACTTTACCTACACTGATGATTAATTTAGGCCTCACCACTTCTACAGAAATAGATGCGTATGGTAAACAAGAATTCCAGGAGGGTCTCCCAGACATCCAGTCCCAGCACACACTCACATCTCTATCCTAACTCTAAAGTCAAATGGTGCTATGGATTCTACTGGAAAGGAGCTTTTTCGATGTGACTGAAATCCCACAGTGGCTGCTCCTGGGACAGGGAGATTGTCCAGTGAGCTGAACTTCATCACATAAGCCCTTAAAGCAGAGAACTTTGCCAGCTGGTGGAAGAAGAAACAAGAAATTCAAAATACGATAAAGAGTTGGTGTCCCACTGCCGGCTAATTTGAAGATGAAAGAGACGATACGGGAATGAGAGAAGAGCTGGGATTGGTCCCAGCTGACAGCCAGCCAGAAAACAAGGACCTCAGTTGTATGAGCACAAAGGATTGAATCCTATCACCAGCAAGAAT